TAGATGGAAAAAATTTTCCTTGGATTTTTTTTTTTTTTTCCAGCTGCAGTAGGCAATGAAGCTTGTCAACAATACTTAGCTTCTTTGTGTTGTGCACAAAGTTATTGCAAACAATCACACAACCAATATGTTTTGAACAAAAAAAAACAAACAAAACCTTTAAGATGCCCATTTGTAGGAATGATTATATTTTTACAATTCTAGTGAAACAAATTTAATGGTTTTGCACACCGTGCACAATTCCTGACCCATTTTTGCCCTATTGCCACAACACAGTGCATGTGCATTTACAGGAATACACAGCGGTGTGTTGAAGGGTCAGGTACTGTGCTTTTAGAAGACCCCCCAAAACACATGTGCAGTGCATGTCATCAACATGACTACATAGGAGTGGATAGTGAAGCCTGCCTTAGATATGCTGCACTGTTTTTGAAATAAGCATTGATTTGAAAGTCAAAGTTAAAATACATACAAAATGAAGCATGCATGACTATTTTCACACTGTTCCATAGTTGTGGATCAGTGACGTGCCCAAAACCGGACTGCATACTCGATATGAATAAAATCACTGCAACGCTGGTGTAAACAGGTCTTAGTGGAAACCATGGATTTTCTGTTGCTCATGCATGTTACCTTTGCGGCAAATGTAGCAGAAAGCAAGACTACACATTTACTGCGAAAGAGCACAAATTAGTTTCCCATTGTTAACCACATTTTGAAAACACTGTTACTCTGGCTGCAATAGGTTCAGAAAGCAAATGATAGCAGAGGATCTGCATAATAACCAGGAAAAAAGCATTTTCAGAAGATGTGCATATTTTTCAAACGTTGGGTTTCTATTGGAGGTCATGTAAACGATGAGCATATTACTGGATTTGTTGCTAGTATCAAAGTTTATTCCACTCACCGGGAACATGCAGTTCTTCAGACAGTTTCTCTGCAAAGATATTTGCACAAGATATACATTCTGCCATGGTTACATTCCTGACGGGAATAAAGGGACACACGTCCAGTGCTCCCATACGAGGATGCTCTCCTGGAATCACATGATTCGACAAGTTAATACCAATGAAAAGTCCAGATTTAATGTACATAGAGAATCCACTTATTCAGAAAGGCGGGGAGCAGAGGATGATGTGTACAGTGCAATACATTTTAGCAAACATTTAGGTTTTCTTAACTCAGATTGGTCTACAGCATTTAAAATGATGGAAGGTGATTAGGAATAGTTTGCTATAGTTGACTGAAGGTTCCACACTGCAATTTGAGCAGTGGTGATCATTAAGACTAATAGTTTTGTGCCTGCTCACTTGGGTGGGAAGAGAGCAGTTACAGGGTAGATCATTTTCAGTGAAAATCTATACTACTGTGGAATCAGGAGAAGACTGGGAACCTTTGGCTTTTTTTTAACTTTTGGCATTTGATCACAAAGCATCTCAGAGCCACAAAGGAAGTTATACTTCAAGACCTCCCTCTGCCAGATGCTGCGATCCCAGGTCTGAACTGGGAGCAGTATAATGCCCACCATAGGTCACTGACTGCGGGTCCTATGTCTAGATGGTGAAGTATCTCTAAGGGCCACCAACCCAACATATCTTGAATGTACTGGCCTGGGTGGGTAAATGTGCCCCTATCCCGCAGCCCAGTACTCATCTGACATATTCTAAGAATAGGCACAATTTTTCTACCTGGTCACATACCTGGACGCCTTAATAAACCAAGCATTATAAACTTTACAAAACATAAGACACACCACAAAGCAGTTGGTCATAACTTTCCATTATTGGTTTTAAAATGAATATTAGAAGAATTTATCCTTGTTACCAAAAATCAAAAGCAAGCGATCAAATTTTAAAATACCTTTCAATTAATCAGACAGCAGCTCTATTGCTCCCCATTCTTACTTTACAAGACTTGGAAAGTCATAATTGAGGAATATTTTTTTTTTCAAAACTGGAATTACACTTTAAATAAGCTTATTTGGGTGTGTGGATGCATTCATATTAATACATTAAATACTGCCTGTGTATAAATGCTCCACATTAGTGTGTATTAACTACATAAAGATTTTCTACTCCTAAATTAAAGTCACAACTCCTGAGTGGAAGGTGCCAACAACCCAGTGCAGGAAGGACTTTATATCAGAACCTATCAAGTCATTTTACTTGGCAGTCAACATGTAAAACAGATTTGAGTGGGGTCTTGTCTATACATCACTAAATGTTAGAGAAAAAGAAACACGTAGAAGGCCAGCATTTTTTTTTAACTTGCACATTTGCGTTACAGGCATAGGTTACCATCAGCAGAAAAACAACTAAACAAAACATAAAAAAATAAAAAGGCCACTGCCTACTACAGCATTGGTGCAGTACCATAAGAATACAATGTAATGCACGTAAAATACACACCTCTCATGTAGATCAGTAAATATACCTTACCTTTGTGTTTGCTCATGTCTATTAACTTAAAAGCCACCCGTGCTGCATTCAAGGCTCCTTCAACAACATCCCCTGGAGAACCCACAAAAGTGTACACTGTGCGGTTGGTGGAAGCTCCAGGGTCGACGTCTAGCAGGCGACATCCCTCAGTCTGTGAAATAGCTGCAGCCAGTGCATCAATAATCTGATATGGAGTATATTTAGCAAATAGGGTTTGTTTTATTTCGTGATATCAATAAGATTATTTAATATCTGTTTAAAAAACACTTCACAGTAACATCAAAGCAAAATGGCAGCTGTTAAAAATTACGTTTTATGCCTACAGTAAAAGACTCACATTCCCCAAAAAATCATTTTATTTTTAATAAGCCAAGATGAAAAACAAACCTTTATGTATTTAAAAAATATCCAATATGGGGTTGCATATTTGTTTCAGGCAGGATGCAGACCTTTGCTTTTCTGCGTATACAATAATGTGCATTGTGGTAAGGCAGACCATTCATTTCGATCCATTCAGGCCCAGTCCTGACCCTGATCCAGAAATTCTGTCTTTACACAATGCATTACCAAAGACATAATCATGGTGTGCTTAGCTAGAAGATGCATTTTCAACACCCACATATTTGTGTGCAAGACAATAGTGTGTCAAGCAAAAGTTGTGTGAACCCGATTCACAGTTTAAAATGTTACTCCAGCTAAACCTTTTAGGGCCCATTCACACCTTAGTGTTGCATTAAATGTGCAAGGTGCATTCATTATCAATAACACACTAATGCATGTCCCAGGAGGTGTGTGTTGCAGCCCAGTACAACACATGGTAATGTAATAGCATGCATTGCTGTGTGGTGATAAAATATAGTACATGCATTACTTTTTTTTTTCACTGCCTGGCAACACACAATATTGCGGTACTGTGTGCTGTAGCACACACAGGCCAGGAGATACATTGGGGTGCAGCAGAGAATAAATGGCAACACAATGCACCAGCAAACCTAGTGTGTAGTATCCTTTGATGTGCAATAGTATGTACAGCAAAGGGTACTACTACCAGATCCTGCACGTTTAGTGCAATGTTATCATGTGAATGGGCCTTTAAATTTAGTTAACGCAGCCTATTCACTTGAATGGGTTTCCTAATTTACCAAAAAAGTGCATGCACTATTTTAAACCACACAGCGCACCACACCATATGGTAGGGCATTACCAGGTGTTGGAAAAAGGTTAATGAGATGCCATTTAGAATTAGGGCAAAACATACCAATACGCATGTTTCTGCTTTTTACCGGGACATTTTCCCCTAAACACTTGTAAATAAATAATAATTGGCCTTACCTCTTTGTTCCTTCCTTCGGAGAAATTGGGGACGCATTCTACTAGTTTAGACATGGTTTCGTTCCTCTGAGCCCTTCTAGAAGAATACCTTCCTCCCTCTGTGAAGCTGCCTCACTAAACTTTCCAAAAGTCTTTGCTGTTTTCAGGTGTTAAAAATTAACTCATTATCTCTGACCTAGACTGATCCGAGAGAGGATGTGTCTCTAATAAGAGTGCAAAACAGAATATTGTCTGCAAGGGGGCGTATAGCAGGACAAACATCAGTGGTGACCATTTCCACTTAATATTTAACAGGTTGTTGTGCTGTGCACATTTTGCTAAGCAATCAAAAATGAAAGGCTCATGTACATGTTTGAAGATGTTTTGTGATTAACTTAGACTTCCATCATTTTCTTGAACATCATAATGCCAAACCTGATGGTTTGAAGGCGTTTGGCATAGAGATGATTACGGTTACTAAGTAATGAAAGCACACGATTTCAAAAAAATTGTGCACCAGACAAACACAGTGGATATATTCCCTGAGCTGTTTAGTTCCAGGGGGGATGAATGAAGGACAAGAAGTAGCTACCTCCATATAGTGTTCAGTCCTGTACCAAGTTATAATACATATTTAATACCCATTGGGTTGTGCACTGATGGACCATTAGTACATTTTAGAATATACTTCACATTATATCTGAATCACGCATGCTCTCACATGCATTCATAGCCGAGTTACACTAGATTGGCTTTAAATATTATTTTTTATAGATATTATTATTGTATACATGCTTATAATTAGCTGTATATGTTTTAACACCCACATATACCAAGATAATGTTTATTGACTTTGTAGATGAATGTTATATTTCTTTATATTAACATGTTGATGTATGCAATGATTTGAAGAAATATGTTCTTTAATCCTATATTTTCATTTATCGAGTTTTGTGGTGCTCTGTAGTGATGGCCTCGGGCGTGTTCGCAGCTCCACGTGCCGAGCCCGCCAGGAAGCTGACAGCCAATCACAGGTACTGAGACATGTTCCCGGTCCGCAGCTGCAGAGATCGGGAAATGTCTCAGTGTCTGTGATTGGCGCTGCGCGCTGGCAGCTTCCTGGCGGGCTCGGCACGTGGAGCTGCGTACACGCCCGAGCCCATCACTAGTGCTCTGAAAGAGGAGACTCCAAAAAAGCCGGGATAGCCCAACAAAACACATTTTAAACACTAATGTATTTATTGTAATATATTTTTACATTTTGATATAGTATGATACTGCTATATGCAGGTTTTGGGATGGGGTTAGCAGGCATGCACATGCCCATGGTACATGTCTGTGGTGCTTGTCCTGCTCTCAGGTGCCTGTGCAATCATATGTTATTTTGCACCTAGCCACAGTCCCATTTGTTTTCTTAGTGACAGCCACGAAAGAAGGTAAAGGCATACCCCACACTGTATGATTGGCTGTATCCTGCCTCCATTAACATGCCCCCTACATGATTGGTCAGGAGATTGAGAGGGGGCGGATCGCCTATCAATATTCAGAGTCCTGTTTATGGGTGACCATAATAGCATACATGCTCGTTGGTGTTTGGTCCCTCTGGATCTTGTAATGCCTATCCCGCCTATCTTTGGTTGTATGGTGATTGCTTCGGATCCTTTTTCAGCACACATAGACTCCGTACGGATTGGCTTTGAGGAAGGGGGTTCGGCCCCTGAAACGCGTCAGCCGTTTTGCAGAGTGTGTCACTGGACAGGCTGACTTGCAGCCAGAGACATAAAACACTGTAGCTTGTTCTGAGGGATGTGGATTTCAGTCCATTCCCATCACTTCTGTGCGATGTGAATGCTTGATGGTTTCTTCTTCACAAGTTTGTGAGTATGGTTCATTTGTTGACTTTTATATTAATAAAACAATACTGCATAAGGGAAGGTGCTTAGTTTTGTTTCTAGATTTGTTGATCATGTTTCCTTATCACTGAAGTGCTGCCACGCTTTGTGAAGGGATCTGTTGACTTTCAAGTGACCCCCTTCCCCACGCACTGATTGATGGCTGTATCTGTGTCTTGTAATCCTTTAACCCAGTGTTAGGACAGACATTCTTCACATCTACTTTACAAATTATATGGAACAAACCCCTCCCAGCCCCTCCTAACATTTCAAAGATGGAGCAAACAGAAAAAAATTTTAACCCATAAGAAGCCAAGAAATTCTAACCTATTGCAAGAAGCAATTTTAAATTATTATTTTTTTAGCTCACGCTATGTGAATGGGAACAAATATAAAATAGGTGTTGTCCTAATTTGGCTGTAAAAATAAACTTTAAATCTTTCCTATTCCAACATACTTACATACATACAACATACATACATACAAGGAATGACACAGTATATAACAATGCATGCATCTAGACTCTGCTCTTCTATCAATGTTTTATGGTATAGTTGGTCATTTTTCAAAACCAAGGGCAATTCCAGTGATATACATATTTTTAAAATCTGAGTCTTTGAATATTGGGGACACATGGGAACCAATAGGGAGATCAATCTACTGCAAAAATGCTGTTTTGTTGGTTACTATGAAATGTGGATCACTCAAATGAAAGCAAATAATGCAAATGAAAAATCATGTATCTATAGTTCCAGGTTTTTAAGAATTGTCACTGGATTGCAGAGGTAATCCTCTGTATTATATAATTCCCCAGTAAAATAAGCGTTATTTTATGTATCAGCTGGGGGGAAGGGTGTTTATATTTCATGTATGACCAGAGTTCCACTTTAAAGAACAAGTCACAGCCTTACAATTCATGGGCGCATTCACACATTTTACATTAAACAGGCTCATTTACTTTATATAGGCCCACTGTCCTCTGACTGGCTCATTTACTTTATATAGGCCCACTGTCCTCTGAAAAAAAAAAAAATCACCTTTTTTCCAGGGCAATGCATTTTTTTTAAATCCATGCATTTGATGTGTTGATGATCATGTGCAATTGTTTTTAGCATGTGCATGAATCATGAATGGATGTCATTAAAGAGACCCTGTTGCCAGAAAAGTTCAGCAAACATCTTCCCATTAGGTTATATGTGGAGTTAACATATTTTATTTACATGTAAAAGCCTTCCATGTGTAGACATTCTAAAGACTGCATCTGACAAGTCAACTGACGGCTTTCTGATGAAAGTGATTCGGGCGCCCAATCACTTCCAGCCACTACGAAAGTCACCGTCCCCCTGTCATGTTCCCAGGGCTCCATTGCCCCTGTTGCGGGTCTGAGACTAGCATGGAGGTTGTTGGCAGATAGAGCAGAGGCTTATCAGTAAACATCCATTTGCTGCTCTCCCCTCTGCTAAATGAACCCGGAAGGGACCAGCATTTCGCCACTTCCTGATTAACAGCTGTCATTCCCCGACCACTATGGCTGGGGAAAAAGCTGATCAAGCATCTGTTGTTGATCAACTTCCTTGGGGTCCATAGGTGACTTTAGGGGTCTAACAGCCCCCTATGTTATAGCAGTAATGGTGTGTAAAAAAAAAAAAGTGTAAAAAATTAAAGTATAATAAATGTAAAAAACACATAAAAACTTTTAAAGCCCCCATGTACACGTGCATACATACATACATACATACATACGCGCATGAGTGGCTATGTACTAACACGTCAATTGCATTACACATGTTAGGTATCACCGCACACTCCAAAGTGAGAACAATAATTCTAGGGCCACTATTCATAATGAACTCTAAACTGATGGCCTGTAAAGGCTTTTAAATCGTCAATGATGGATAATCTTGGGCACTGTCGTTTTTTTGCCTTATCGTATCCTTATCTTTCTACTTGATGCAACCTCATCTTTTATATATTACTAAAAAACTGGGTAACATTGTGTTTTTGTGTACTAAAATTATCCTTTGTGTATTTTTTTGACAGAAAATTTAGGCTTAATAAACATGTGCGCTAATATCAATACAATAATTACTACTACCAGCATGTTATTTGTCAGGGTCTCTGTTTTCAGAAAATATATTCTGTTTGGGATTTTAACTAATCTTCAGGCCTAAAATGTGAATTTTAACATTGGTGCAAACAATAATTCCAGGAGCGAACTGGTTAAAAATAAATGGGCATGCAATCTGTTACACAAACACTGCATGTTAAGGTGCACAAGTGTGAATGTGGCCCAACACAGTACTGTATGCGATAAGCTTATTACTTTGAAATGCCAGTAGTTATGGTCACTTTTGGCTAAATATGTGTAAGGTAAAGTCTGCACAATTCCGATATTTAGATCTATTAAATATCAGACAGATTTTATTGGATTAGAAGGTAGATGCAAAGTGCATACCACCCACTCGATGTTCAGGAGTTAGGCACCAGTTGCTGCTACGATAGTTGTTCAACTAGCTGAACACACATATTTAAGCGCAGTAGTCATATTTGTTTTATCAGAGACTCTGAATTCAATGGGTGAGTGGGAGAGCCTGCAGGCAGGGATAGTCTGCTCTTTGGAAATCTGAAACAGACCAGATGCTTCACTGACTGATGTTTGTTCCTCATCCTGGTCAAACAGGTTTTCACATGTACAATGTTTGGAAAACAAGTCTAACAAATATTGGATGGGCCTCATTCACACTTGTGAATGAGGCAGCGAATTCCTCCGTGAGACGCACGGGTGTTTATGCCACTAGCTACCGATGGGAAGCCCTATACCAGTGATGGCGAACCCGAGTGCCCAAACTGCAACGCAAAATCAATTTATTTATCTCAAAGTGCCAACATTAAAAAAAGGTTGGTATTGTGTTGCAGATTGGGCACTGGGGTTTGTTCAGCATCACTGCCTTAGGCAAAATAGGGGAACACACATATTCAAACGTTTATACACTCAATAAAACACACATATCTCACACACATTTTAAAAAAAAACACACATACACTCATTTAAAAACACACTCAATACAACACACACAACTATTAACAATAAAAATTAATAATTTTAAAAATGTCCCCCCTCTCCTGCTTACCTGGTTTGCAGGGAGGGACTGCATCCCTATGGTCCAGTGGGGCACTCGGAGATTATCCTGGTGGTTCAGTGGAGGATCAGTGTGATCTGCATCTCTGGCTGATGCAGACCATACTAATGGCTCCTGCCTGTGAGCAGCAGTACCACGAGGGAGTGA